GGTTTCATCCGGTTTGGGCGTGGTGACATTACAGGACGCTTATTCAACGAGCCGCACATCTCAAGGTCAACTTTCGAAGATCAACTTGTGTCTTTCTTGGACTAAGTTTTCAGTTCTTCCAGTATTGGAGATAATGCGTAAGTAGTTTGTAGCCTAATAATTTAGCAATTTATTAAAGTTAGAATATTTGCAATAATTTGCTTATTTACTGTGCACTGAATGAAAAGAGAATAGAAATTTAGAATGCATGTGCTCAACCTAATAGAAACTCTCATAGGACACGAACCATCTATTAAAAAGAATGAACACCCATGCTACTTTGCCGAAAATATTTTCCTAATCAGAGCATTAACTTTCGAACTACTGCAAATTTTATAGCGACACTCAAGGTCGCGCACATTCAAATGGTGATAGAAATGAACTAAAAACGTAGATGTTGGAGATAAAGTCAGGAATAAATACATTGTACCCATAACCATCTATATATAAGTATGCTATTGCAAGCTGAAATGGGTTTTCAAAATGAGGGCGATGTTGCACGAGTTTGGTCAACACCTGTACCTTCTCGCGTAGCCTTTGTGCATCGAAGGAATCGAAATCCCTAACGTTAGTATATTGCACTCGATATACAGCACTTTTCCTGTATTTACTTAATTTTCTTCAAACGAAACGTTTCTTATCCAATTATTGCATAATAATTCCAGACATTCCTCTAATCAATGCTAGATTAACAACAGAGTTAGGTATATGGTGGCCAACGTAATCTTATTGCATTTGTATTTGCAACCGTTTTAACTATAACGACGACCCCAAAATAGCTGACGATTCAGACTAGATCGTTCATGTGTGAATAAAAGCTGAATTCGTTGGTGAAATCGCATTCCACAAAAACCACGCAATCGAAAACAAGTGAAATATGCGACCCTGGATACACGGAGTACATTGACATTTTTCATATTCCAAACTCATTATTTGCTGTGAAATCTCTTCGCAATTTTCTCGTGAAAAATGATTACCAACCGTGCCTGTAGACATCCATTCTCTCGTTTGCTTTTGCCGGTGAGTGCTGAAACCGACGGATTCATTCATTAGCTTTGGTCAACACCGGTACCGCCCTTATTACTATTGATATTAGTAATGGATTAAGCTCAACAGGTGATGCTATAATATGTTTCACTAAGTAGATATGAAACATTCATTCGACCCAGGTCGTAATTGTTACGATGAACTTTGGTATGTGCAATTTCGCTAATGGTTTATGGCAAGGACAACTGCAATTGGCATTCACCCATTTGGACAGGGGCTCTGTGTGACGGCGGTTATCGATCGGTTGACACCGCCGACTATCAGCTAGGTCAATCGCGATTATCGTTCACCCCCGCTTGCAAAGCTACGTTAGTGCGACCGAGCCCATTGATCAAATGAACTTCGCACCCATCAGCAGGACTAATCTTACGGTCGTGGCTTTGGTGACCACTGTACCCCACAGTATTGGCAAAATATTTATTTAGCAAAATCATAAATCGTCGTTAAACTCAGCTTGGCTCTCGGTTGGAAATCAAAAAATACGCTGTTCAGATTAAAAGTAATCCACTTGAAATCCTGACACTAAGGCAAATGTGCAAATTCTGCACTTCTCTAATTGAGATGGGTTCAAGTGCATTCAATGATATTCTTCTCCTTTGCCATACTTAGCTTGAATCGAGACCAATTTATCACAGAAACATATGAAACTTGAGATAACCTTTCTGGATAACCTACTTCTTGATCAGCGAATTCTAAAAAAACCTTTTGTTCTTCAAAGGACACCGATCATCAGACACACATATTGCGTATATCCTCCGGTAGTTGTATTAGCGACTGGTTCAGTATGGGCGTCATGTATAAATGACACAACTGGGTCTTTAAGAAGCCTCCTTGCGATCAGCATCGAACAACTAAGTTTGAAATTAAACAGAAGTCATTCATACGTTCGTTTAGGAATTATGATTGCAGGGTAGGCTTCTGCCATCTAAAACACGGAGGCATATTGAAGTTCCAAACTTTCCATTAAACAGTGTTAGTAACTGTTCTCCTGTCATGCTCCCATGGATCAGTAAAGTACTTCCTTCTTGGAATTTCTTGACTCCAGAAATTTTTATCTTTTGAAACTTTCTGTTCTTTCTGGGAGGTGCTTGTAATATAATGCCAAGTCAAAAGCGTTAAGAATATCAACCGCAAAAATATCGCTCGAGAATTTTCCTTTGCATCACCTGATACCGTCAAACTTAAACCGAAAAATTTACAAAATATTACACGAGAGTAATCACTTGTCTCTTTCTTTGCAGTTCAATAATACATGTACTGATTAAGAGCTAAATCAAAGTTTGGAAGCCTTGAAGTCATCTGTATGCATTCTTTGTGCAAGCTGGACAGCGTTCTTAAAAACGACACTATACACAATGGGGCACTGACAGTTCTTTTCCCTTGTAGCAGTGAATCATACCAAGATTGTTTTATTAACTGCCTAGAACTTTTTAGTGAATTTCCGGCGACATTTTCCCTAAAATGCACCAGTGTTGTCGAAATTCCCTTAAAATTGTTTGGCTGGATATAATATTGTAAACAGTTTTGCTTGAAATACCAAGTAATATCGTTTGGAGCTCTGATTAATTTATTAATGAGTTGTTACTAATTAATTGTGACTCATTGATAGATAAACGCTTGCACATAGGTTTGCCAAGTGACACGGACTCGAAATGCTGACATATGTGAGCCTTCCTGACCGTCACACCAGGTAGAACATCATTGAATAAATGCGACATTGCATGTTGGTGGGCCAATGATCAACATGTACATCGCCATTGAGAACTGCAAAATACTGAGGGCATAACGGTGCATAGTTACGGCCTACGTTATTGCATATAGGGATGAGTTTCGTTTGCTAAATTGTGGAAATAAAATGCAATCACTTATGGATGCGACTTTATTTACTTCCAAATCTTTTCTCCATGCGCAGATCAATAAAAGAATAGACTCATATGTGGCCTCGATTTTGTTTATCAATTCACCTGCATCTGTGAAACAAGTTTTTTGGGTCGAGAGGTTAGAGGTCTATTTGATCGCATCCAGAGGCATCAGCCAATCTATAATTAAATCACGGATTGATAGGAGCCAAGGAGACGAAACTTACAAGCTGGATGAGTCTAATCACACTGTCAATTTACTCGAGGCTTTTCATTGTCTCTATGCGGTTATGGAAAGATTATCCAAATTTTTTCAACCCAAATTTTGTCAGCAGCCGAGACGATTGCTGTTTTTCACCACACACACCCATGTGCTTTCAGAAACAGTACGGCAAATTGTCACAACTGGTGTAAAAGGTGAAAGAAGCTGTCGCACAATCAACTGTTTGCATTTGTGGCTTCGTACACGAAGGCAAGCATAGGAATCTGAGTAACCATCGGTCGATGGTTTTGACTAATATTTATGTTTCCCATACTCGTCCCTCGGAGAACCTCCTTCATACTTGACATATTTCCCATTGCTTTAAGGAGTCATCTTTGTTTCTCGCTATTTGTTACCTGGGGTAACTTCAGCGAGTTGATATCAGCCTCCTTGCTGTTGTTGGTTTGACACACAGAGGGCCTCCCAACAAAACTAAATGCTNAAATGTTTTGGCGATAAGGCAAGTGTTTTATCCGTGTCTGCCCGCTCCTTTCTTGCGTAATCCGACCGTGTCCCCGTTAGAGTTTATACAAAAAGGGAACAGTAAATTCAATCAGAAAACGTTTGTGAAAAGTTTTTATATCAAAAGAAAGAAATATAAATACGATGTGTTGTGAATTGATCAGCCTGATTTACGTGTCGCCTCCGTCTTTCATATTGGTCTTTGTAACCTTGCTGGGTGGTCCACCGCATAGAATTTATTCCAAATCAATCCAAATGCTCAGAAATGCTGTTCTCACTTCACAGAGGCCACTGTTATGGAAATCTCGTAGAATCTTGTCCCACGATAAACATACGTGATGATACCATTGTTCAACCCGTTATCCCAGGGTGTTTGTTGATTAGCTGGAATTTATGCTGGTCTAATCAAGTTATTTCTGTATTTGGAAGGGTTCAAAAAATATCACCCTCCTGAAAGCTTCATAGGTCCCACGCTTCCAGATCCACAGCTTTTTGCTAGTATTTCGCCCCTTTGGCTTTACTTATAATCTTCACAGGTATGCTCAAGAAGGAATTGAAGCTGCTTTTCAGATCAATAATTTAGTTATCTAAATGCAGCGGGATTTCCCTTGGAGGTGCCTATTTCTTCATCTTTCCATGAAAAACAAAGTCTTTTGGTATACAAAACGTCATGAACAACTATTTGCGTGGATTATGCACAGATCCTATGCAGTGTGTCCTCTTATTCCNCTATAGCTGCATACTTACTCGCACTGAAGCTCTCCGGTCTTCTGTGGTACCTTATTCTGCCCAGAACGCATCGCATCTGAACTTAACTCTTCCATATCGTAAATTCTTTTTTCTGTCATTGCATTCCACCATTCTTGTATTGTTTCTTTTGAATCTATGTAGCCTCTGAATACTCACCTGTAGAAGTTCATAAGTTATAAACTTGACTTAACTTGATGGCATTTATATAACTTTGGTTCAATCGTAAAATGAATGAAGAATATAAAGCCTTGCAAGTAAGCATCTTATCAGATGTACGTTTTGCGTTGAGAATAAACAACAGTACCATATGAACTTTACCTAAAAGTGATTACCGGCACAAACAAATATTATAAAAATACGCAACCCTTCCATACACTCATTAATCTCCGAAAAGAAGCTATGCCTTTAGTCGTTCCCTGAGTTTCAATTGTAGGAGGAAACAGTTTTAGAAACTGACAGTTAAAAGTATATTGAATAGTGAATGACGCATTCCGGATCATCAAACTTGTATTGCATGCTTTTAATCCTGTACATTTTGTGCTCTTCTCCGGTTTCAGATCTGAACTAGCACTCATTTACAACGATCGTGGAGTTCTAGAAAATCATCATGTTAGTGCAGTATTCCGACTGATTCAAGATCCTGAATTCGATATATTCACTGGATTGGATAAGGATCAATACAAGTGAGTTAAATACAGTCGCATACAATTTCAATCGGATGTAAAAAATGAAGAGAGAACGTGCGGTAATATTCCATCGCATGAATGGAATAAATCTGATGGAAATCGATTGTCGCTTTTTTCAATAGGTTCCTTTTACCCGAATAATGCCACCTGTCGTAGCTTTGGTGTAATAAATATCACGTGTGAGTTAAAATTTGACGAAGGAATAAGAAATTAATTTTGCCGTGAAAGTTACTTCAATCATAACTTTCCGAGTTGTGTGAAGTTCAATTACAGCTCTAAAACAATACGTTTTCTGTGATACTACTGAAACCACTTTCTGCAAATTCACTGTTTCTTCTTCAATATACGTGAGTTCCAGATTTTAAAAATTGGACAGCAATGAAAATATTCCTTTATTTTTTGGTGGGATTAAATTTTTGTGGGAAATCACCAGGAAGACTAAATGTACCAGCACGGACCCGATTTTAATCAGTCCGCCGAGCAAAAGAGTAACTATATAAAAATTCAGTCAAAAACAGATGAAATTTAAAAAGCAAAGTAAAAGTTGGCAAAGGGCTCAATCCAATAGGGCTCGAAGCAACTAACCCTTTAATTTACTATATAAACAGTGCAATAATGGTTATTATGCCCCTATCTCCCAATCTGTAGGGAGGAAAAACTCCATTGGTTCCATAACGTTAAAAGTTTCGATACAGTTGTCAATAAATATTTCAAGGAATTTTTAGTTGTTTATTCTGTTTTCAATGTAAGATATCCGGATATAAACTCAAGATTTACTGTACACAGGCAGTGCCCTGCTGAGTACGAGTGCAATTCTTGGAGGAATAAACTTGGCCCCTGACACAATATTTAGGTGGCCAAAATTTATCGACATTTCATCCCACGCAGGATGCAAAGGTTCACATTTGTGGTACTGAGCAATAAACAACCGAATGTAGCCATGAATAAACCATATATTCACGCGTCTATGAATCTGTTACTGAAGCCTTTTGTTTCTGTTAAAATTTTTTGTTAAAAATTATTTGCTTTGGCTTGGTATTGCACACGTTGAACAGGATCTTTCATGGCGACATTTGGATAACTAAGGCTAAAAATAGTTTAACGCCAGAAAACAATCTGCCAACACAGTTGTCGACAATATTAAGATCCGCGATTCCACGGAATACTAGTTAGTGCAAAAATGACGGACTCCAATGAAACCGCGCTGGAACAGAGCAGTAGACAATGTCAGGTTGGTTGCTCGACCGATATGCGTGCCCACGTCACCCTTTGCCACTGACCACTATGAACGCACCATATGCGTCCAGAAGGCGGTAAATGCTCTCAATAAACGAAATCAATGGGTATATTACCTCGGCTGGTAACGAAAAACTTCGGACTTCCTATACTAGACTTGGGTATGCGATGATAACCATCTATCGAAAAATAGGGCATTCCCTTGAAAATAATAATGGTTTGCAGTACAAGCGCCCTAATGGCAGGACGCATTTACCAGCCTGTGTTTCTGTGCGTATTGTAACAACTCTCACATAATCATCCGTAAATCATTCTTGTGTCACATTTGAATTAGGTTTCCGAGGGCTTCTCATTTTCGTTTATATACTATCCTGGTGCACTCCCACACACCAATCGAAGTCTCATATATGCGTACGTATCTTTAACTACCTTTGAAAAATTAATTTCATTCTGCTTGGCTAATTTTGAAGAGCCTATTTAATTGCATATTCCACTTTATCCGTTGTTGCGATCAATTACAGGACAAAAACCAATTCCTTATCTTCATTGTCGTATTTTGCCACGGGATAGATTGAGTGGTTTTAATCTATACTGCACTGAATCATCCTGGGTAAATTTATTCGCTATTTGAACTAAAGAATATTCACCTTTGAAAAATTAAAAGCGTTTATCGGAAGCACAGTGTATACTGTTGATTGGTCACAAAACGTTTCTTTCCAACAAATCACTTTACTATTTCAGAGAATTTCGCCAGTTGGTTATTGATATGGTTCTGTGTACAGACATGTCACTGCATTTCCAACAGATCAAAAACATGAAGAGTATGATTGCAATGCCCGAGAAGTGAGTGTTGGTTTTCCATGGCATGACTAATGACAGGATATACATTTATGGTTCTCATGTACAAATGCCAAAACGTTTACGCATCGATAGGCACAATTACTCACAGCTTTAAAATGCCAGTGATAATTTACTTTGTTATTCCAAATATTTTTCATTTCTTCCAATATTGTTTAGGATAACGTGTCGGAGTTGCTCGAGGAAAAACCACTTTCTTTTGTTTATTGTTTCATTATTATAGAGCCATACCCTAGCAATTCTTGTACACCATACTCCTCTGACATATCCCAATCCTCACTGGAAGGTCGCAGCTTGACTATAAGTAGTACACACTCTTGTGTAGCTAAGATGCTGTAGAGCGTTTATCCACCTTCGAACGTTTATTTTCATTCACTTTGGTTGATAATATTCCAATCGGAAAGCTACTAAAATGAAGCGTTGTCAGCACTATTCCTTGACACTTGGCTACCAAAAATACATTTTTTGATTAATGCCATACTACTTTTTCCACCAAAATAAAGCCAATCCATCGATAGAACATATCTTGCCGTTTTCATTTTTTTGCTTGTATTCTGACCGCTTCGCATTGATTCATGAATATCAACCTGGTGCGCTCATACTCGAACTAACGAAACCTCCAGAATTACCGACATATTCCTCATTTACTACTTATTTTTCTCTATCTGCTCAAACCAACAAGAACAAGATTTGTACCTGTTCACAATCTTCGCGTATTATTCGGAATATTCAACTGGACTCGCGGAAGACGCATCTACTGGTCGAATACGTTTAGCTTCTTTATGATGGGGTTAAACGTTACTATATTTTTGAGTTATACTGCATATTTACATCTCCAAAGTATGACACTATCTAGGAAAACGTAAACATATTACCAGACGGTGATTTACTCTTACCGTTGACCGATAATTTCAGCCGTTTTCACATACAATGTTTGGTGCACCGCGAAAATAAGTACCTACAGAACTAATGTTAGAAACTGAGAAGGGATCTAAATGGTGTAATTAATGTTTTGTTCATAAGGCAATTTCTGTTTGTAAATGTGTATAAGATAGGTCAACAAGTGAGATATGCTGTCTTTGACGTGTGATTCTTTATTCTCCGCCTAAGTCTTTGTTTTCAACTAATACAATTACCTCACTATTCTGCCTCCCAATAGCACAATAGCTATTCTATTCAACTGCCCGCCATGCAAGCAAATAAATCCGCCATTTTATTCCTGTTTTAGTGTGGACAAAACCAAAGCTCTTTCTCTTATCGTTCATTGCGCCGATATTGGACATCCAGCGAAAAAATGGTCTCTTCACGAACAATGGACCAAAGTGCTTTGTGAAGAATTCTTCCGACAAGTAAGTTTACGTTCACAGTGTCACATCTAAAAACTGATGCTCCATGTGTAATTGTGAAACCACAAGACAGCGATATTGGTACAGGTGAAAATAAGCTAACCTTTCACATACCGTGGGTAACCAATTTTACAGTCAATTTTACAATCGAATGCCTGTGTTTTCACAATTACTGCTCATATAGGTTAACGTTACTTATTTGCTGTAGCATTATAACTTGACGGTACGACATTTAGTAACTCCCTGGATTCAGGTTGTCATTCAGTGCTCGGAGAGTGCTGAGTGTTGAGTGCTGGTTTTTGGTTAGGTTTGCACGGGGCCAATAAATGCTTTATATCACGGAATAGTATGGAGTTTCGTCGAAAAACAGCAATACCAATACGAACCATTCACATAAATCTCTTTTAATCAATCGAAGCTTAATACCCAACCGGAAAATATATTCTATAGCTAAATGCTTGTTCACACTAGAGATAAAGAAGCAAAACATTTTTTATGCAGAACTAATTTGTGGATGGGCTTAAAAGTTACAATTTGATAAGTACATGTATTCATCCATGCTTTGGTTGATTACAATAATTTTTTTCACAATCTGAGTCAAGGTGCTGCTTCAAATCTTCATTCCTATGTATTCATTCAGAAACTGATCCTCATCTATAATTAGATCGCTAAAGATTGAATGAACGAACTGAATATTTTACTGCACAGGATTATTTCAGCTGCACCTTATCGTATATATGCAACGCGTGGAACGCCAGTGCGACAAATCCAGTCTTATGCACTCAGAACACTAACCACACCATATTGTGCAGATGCAGTGAAGATTCGTGGAAAGCGCCGGATTCGGTTTTGTGCAGTGAATCTGAATAACGCATTTAATCTTTCTGAATAACATTGCCAGAATTAGGAATATTTGCCTGTTGTACCAGGTGAAATCAGCGACAATCAAAGTGCTTGAGTGACCAGATTTTATTGTTTTTAGGCTAAAGTCCTCAACTTCTATTCGGATGTCGATCGTTCCCTGTTTTATCACGCGAAAAGCATCCGCTTTTGGCTGACTTCTCATGTTTCACTTCGCCTATTAGCCGAGCTTGTCAATTTGTTTGCCGACGTTTCACCACCAGCCGAGGTGACATCATCAGTGCTTGTGACTTGTGACTTCACACGTCTTGAGAAAATGGTGATGGCTCTCATCACCCTCGATTTTATTCAGCAAATCAACTTTGAACGCGCAAGTTAGCTCTTCGTTTCGTTTGCGAACATTCTTGTAGTAGGAATTAGTGTAGCAACTTTCATCAATTAAAAATAGGTAACGCCGAACTTCCAGTCTGTCGATGTAGCAGGCCATAGTCTATACAGGCTGAAAATGGTTTTCAAACGTCACGGGTTCAATAATGCTGCTTATAATTATTTCGGTGGTGAGTGTATTCATCCTGCAGCGTCAAATTGTACGATTTACGATTTGTATGCATACATCTTTTTGAATTCCGTTCTCGACTGAAAAACACCATATCTAACTTCGCATCTGTTTGTGGCATGTAAACACACGAAGACTTGCATAGAAACACTTAGACAGCAAATCAGTCGTCGCTGAGAGCTTCGTTTTCTTGCTGGTTCGCAAACGTATCTGTGCTTGTCTATTTTGCTCAGAAAGCATCTAAAGTGCAATCTGTCCGTTCGGCCCTGTAGGGTAGAATGACTACATCAGGAAGCCTAATCTTGCGCTCTGTCAGCTATTCGCTGGCACTTTTGGCAAGGTGAAGCGTTTTGGTAAATTGTAGTTGTATGTTCAAAGACAGTGTAGATTTATACAAAGTTGTAATGATTGTGCATTGAACTCTTATTTTAACTTGGCGGTGGTGAGCAAGTGGTTAGGTCACCCAGTTTTGATTTAGGAGTCCACTATTCAAACCGCTTCCCTATTTCTGTATTCACCCAGGCAACCTTTTTATAGCCATGACTCCTTACCGGAAATTTAATTGTACATTTATATATTCAATACATAAATAAAAGTGGGTACAAATAGATAAAAGAGATGACAAGACAGCATGTTCCAGCTATCAAGAAGTAACCGTAATCACTGATCTGGTATTTGTAACAGAATAATATTATTTTCGTCATCCAATTGGGATGATCTCGTTGACATCTTGTATTTAGAACTTTTGCCAATTTATGGTGTTTTGCGTTGTGTGATCCTACATTTTGCATCTCAAAAACACACGCCGCGATACTTTTGATGCCCCCCCCAAATATAGACTTTTTTAATTCGATAACGTACTATTTTGATTTCCAATATAAATGATTTATGGTCACAATTCCCTGAACCGGGACTAGTCTTACATCCTTTGGCATGGATGAAATTGCATCTTTTTCAAGAATGTCAAGCAGATGCGAAAGCTGTGCTTGTATATAATAATACCGTTTCTCGTTACAATCATTAGGAGTAAATTTATTTTATGTTCATCTGTATTCGCATCCATAATTTCACCACACACTACTACTGACTAGATTTTAAGTCTCTTTAGTTTTGTGTACTCAGTAAACTAAGACGGAACTTCAGGCATTCAGAGCTTGCTCATTTTACCTAAGTGGTGGCTTTGTATTTGAATAGAAAATTCACGAAAATGAACAATTAAAGTGAAATTAGTGATTGACCGCCATATAGTGAGCAGGAATCGGTATCAGGCCAAGTGGTAATATGAACGTGCGACAACAGCAACCAGTTTCTTATTTTTCAGCCGTCATTTTGATTGTAATGCACCTTTGATTTATGTAGTAGTGTTCTTTCGCTCCGAAATTAGAAAACGCGGCAAAATCTGAAGCACTACCACCATGATCAATTAAAGCTTTATTCCAATGTTTTTTAACTCGTTCTCTTTGCCGCGCCCAATTCGTCTTCCAGGGTGACCGTGAGAAAGAACTCAATTTACCTGTTTCACCTTTGTGTGACAGAAATACCGTTGTGGTACCGCAATCGCAGATTGGTACGTTCGCCGGCAATGTACTGCTTTATGCTACGTTTAATACTTTTACGGTTAACTGAGTTTATTCAATGTGGGATATACAGGAAGCATCAATAAACTATACAAAATAAAATCGTCCATGAAGAATAACTCGAGTAAATGAGATAGAAACACCATTATTCGGTGTATCGACGACTGAAGTTTAGCAAAGTATTTAAAATAGCTTAAAACGTGCCATAAATGTTGCTTGTTGTCATGCAGCGCACATTCAATTTAAGTGTTGCCGATTGGTGAAGTGCAATTAGCCGCAGTCGGACTCTCAAATCTTTCTCTTATCTTATTAAACGAAAATTGGTTGTTTGTTGGGTGCTTGCTCACGTGCTTTGTCACTATATAGATTTATTTTCCGCAAAATAAAGGGTTACTGCTCTCTTATAAAATTGTCATTCCTAACAGATCGGAATGTTATATTTGTTCACTGCAATTCTAACGACATCATAGACGACTGTACCGTATGTATTCAGTAAACTAACATGTAAACATGGAAGGCGCATCTGGTTTAACGGCGCAATCCATCGTCAGTTTCTATGTGCGGAGTTGCAAGAAACACCAATCACAGACACAGAAACAGTGAACCGTTTATGACCAAGCGTACGTGGTACAGGGTGTGTTCAACATGACTGAACTAATCTGGTCTAATACACATCATATAAACAAGTCGTGAAAAAACAATTCAACAGTTAATTCCAATCCCATGTTATCGACTCGGGGGCTCATTTTTGTCAGGAGGATTATTTCCTCCCATATTAAAAATTTTTGTCGATAACTGATGTAAAAATTGGAATGAATTATTAAAAGATATTTGAGAAAAATTTTCATTTTCATTCAGTATAATAATATATCATAAATGACAGGAGCCCTTGGCTAGGCCACAAACACCCATAGTCTAACTGCTGTGGGTATAAATGTTTACTGTTTGACATTTAATGTATAGAAAGACTTATCTTTTTTTAACTACAAATATTTATCTTTTATCTGAGTGGAAACAATAACGCACCATTTTCACCGCAGATTAAACAGTCAACACGCAGTTAGGCTAGAAGGCAAAGGCCAGAGCATATATTGTTCAGAGTACGTAACTTTACTGGGTGGTCATTCATTACAAGAAAATGAATACTCGGAATACAGACAGAATTTTGGCAAGAGAAGCGGAGTGAGAAGCTCTTGTGCGGTGTACATATGGTCATGTGGTTGTGCGTTTGCGCACGCGACGATATACGTAAACCGTCATGTGCGCATCAAAGTCCTCGGGAGAGGATGAAGATGATTCGTGACGGGTCGTGTCGATCACACTGATGGACAGACGATCAATAATTGGGGACTTGTCCGACCACTTCACAGGGCACAGCTATCCTTGGTGCATGTCACGTCTCTTTTCTTTTCGTTCGTCTGCAAGCCATCCACTCCGAAACTTTTCAACAGGCTTTTTCCGCTCAATCAGCGCGGAATTCACACAAGAATGAATCCTTTATTTTTGAGCTTGTGTTTTTCAACATCAGGGGGAATTTCATTTACATTTCTGTCAGTCCGTTGGTTACTATGAAGGGCTGCGACTCTTCGATTGGTGTTATCTATCGCTTCCATCTATCTCCGCACAATTTCCGTTTTTGGTTTCCGATAGAGGGGACTCAAACTCGTTCTTTGTTCTTCTATGTCGCCTTGTAGACCATCGTTCCGGATTGTTGGTTCAAAAACTTGTCTAAATAGGTTTGGTATCCCATACCGATAACGCATTGTACAGGTTTGTAAGAGGTGCGTTCCGCAATAGGGTACTTGATTTCTCTGAAAGAATTACTTGAAATTTTCACTGGTAGATGGATCGCCACTGTAAACCACTGGAGATTGTGGGATACCAAAGGTACTAAATGAAGTACTCACGCAACATGGTGTACCCACTGAAGTAGCTTTTGATACTGCTTATATCTTAATTCGTTAGAAATGAGCATCACTTTAAAATATTAATATAATATTAATTAATTAATCAATATTTATGGTGTTCTCAACTGAACACGTCATTCGATATCCTCTTGGATTTCAGGCCACCAAACCTAACTCCCGCCAACCAGTTTCATTCGCCAGGTCCCGTATGACCTGCAAATTATTTGTAGTAAGCGATATGGCTCAATAATAAGCGCACCACAAAAGGGTCACCTACATTCGAGGAATGGTTAGGTCCCCGTTTGCATGAACTCTTTTATTTTAATTGCAACACTCTGAGGCTGACCATGAGTTAAGAATCTTTCAATCCTTCACAGTGTGATGCCTCATTCAGTTTCCCGACTGATATCAGAAAGGTTTGGGTATTTTTTATTCATACATCGACCCGAATTCACCATGTATGCTGGTTTAAAGACTCATCCTTGAATATCAACTAGGTAAAGACAGAAATTTACTTTTTACTCGGGGATATATACAATTCAGTAATCTTCGGCAAATAGAAGCACGGCCCACCGTGACATTCGGAGTGATTACGTTAGCTTTTTACCCTTGGATTCCCGTTCAAGCTTAACAGTGGGCTAACATCGGTCCGAAACTCTGTCTACAAATTGCCTGACCTAAATAAGCGTGATGGACTTTAGGATGCAAAAGCAATCGGCTGATCACTTGTATTCTCCATCCTACGTGACAGCACAACACCACCTCCTTAGGGGGATGCAACAGAGAAGAGCACCAAAGAATTTTCGGATAGAAATAAGCAAACATAAATGAGTCTTCTAATAACTTTTTACCTAGCCCCAAATGTCATGTGCTGTTCTTGTGTTCATTTATACTGGCTAGATCTATATAAAAGTTTATTTAACGAAACCGAAGACGTTGGACGTCGTGCATTGCATTGATTGTGTGTCAACATTTCGATAAGTGCTAAGTGATTTCAACTCAACAATGTTTGTTGGGGCCGAGTAGCTTCTGGCGAATTGGGAGAGTGTAGTTCATATTTGTTCAGTGTACTTCCAAGCAGCTCTACACAGTCCGCGGTTATTTGGCTTTTAAATTTATTGCTTTGCGCTTTCTTTCACTGAAGCTCCACAAAGCCGTCTGTTGGGCCTACAAGTGCACGTGTGCATATCGGACTTCGAAAACCAGACTGCAATCTGCTACGGATAACATATGTATAGAGAATATCCGTGACCGTTTCGTCGACATCTGTTTATTCAACATTAGGTTACAAAAAGCACACGTAGACCGTAAAAGAGATCATTTATTTATTTATGAAGGCCAATTATAAATCAATTTTCTTGACCATGCCTGACTCCAAGTGACTGCTGTAATCTTTCTATGTGTTCCAGATCCGCTTGTATGACGTGGCTACAGAAATCAGGCGGCACGTTTGAGTATACGCGTAGCTCACTCTGAAATGAGAGTAATGTGCGTTCATTTACCATTGGCACTTGACCGCACCGCTCAGCATCAAAGAGAGACTGCTGATATGACACACGAACGTTTATCGTACTAATCAATATAAGGCAATTTCAAGGTACAAGAGGTGTTAAGGAAGGAGTGACTCAGGCTTCGTGTTGATCATTGGCTATCTTGTGTCTCTGGCAACTCCTCCTTGTTCCTCCTCCTCGTGTACAGTGTTCAGCCATTTTATACCTGGAAAAAAAGCGAACAAGGAGATCATTAAAAACGCTGAAAATGTCATTGGTCCGTTCAGTTTCGTTGCCGTCACACCGGCCGCAAACTGTGTTGAAACCATAGAATGATCGCCGATTTTCTAGTTATAGCCTATCTACTTATTTTACTCATTTTGAAACATACTGTCAAATTAGCGCATCATGAATACTCATTGAAATTTATCGTTGTTTTTAGGTTTTATCGACTTTATTGTGGAGCCTAGCTTCCAAGTGCTGGGTGACATGATCGAACGCATCGTCTCCCCGAAAACCAACCCAGCGGATGGTAGTCCGGAGGACGAAACCAAAGCCGACGCAAAGGTCCCAGAAAAATGTAAGTGGTGGAAAATTTACGTCCTTTTGACCAGCTCAACTGCAACATATTCATGATCAATTTTGAATAAATGACAAACATTCTTCAGGATTATCTGAATTTGTTATCAAATTTTATTTGAATATGTCCCTGGTTTTCTAAAGGTTTTTTATTCACAATTCAATAATGTTTTGTTTGGATCAAAAGACGATTAGAAAGTGCGCAATCGCAGCGTACGCTTCATATTTCTTATTTAGATAAATTATTGATTTTCTCAATAACCCACCGTCCGAGTTCACGCCTTGCCGTAATGAATTTACTTCGAAAACCGTGCGATACTCAAACACCAGGAAAGAGCTTCATTTGCGGTCAGTTGGTGTTAGGTACTGTCAGTTCGTCAGTGACTGTTGAATTGCAAGATTTGAACTGTCCTTCGGAGCTGACCACATTAGTGAGGGTTCGTTTGGTGATGATAGATGCGACTTGTCATCTTTTACCATCAAAACCGCCTTACATCTAAAACAAACTGGATGTAGATTTTCATAAACTTCCGAATTTTTAAATTTTGTTACCCATTGGAACTCGATAAGTAGTGAAATAGCCTACAATTTTTCAAATTTACTCTTTTACTATTTGCCCAGTTTAAAATTTGTTCCTATGACATTCTTTATGCTCCCGGTAATGTTAACTGGGTATTTGGAATGATATACAGCCTAAAATAACTTAGACCCAATAATTTGTCCTGCATTGACACGTGCAGTTTTGCTTAAGATCCTTCTCAACTTCCCTGTCGTGTAGTCATGCTTGAGTGCCTCGGTTTCCGATCAACCACATTTTCTTTTTCACAGCGGAACCTCCAAATGTGCCACGACCTTGGGTTAATTGTTTCAAGGAGAACAAAGAAGCATGGGCCACTTTGGCGTCCGAAACCAAACCTCGATCGTAAATTGTCGCTTCAACAGCTGAGAGCGACTTGCGTATGAAGCATCATATATCTGTCTCAAGCAATGTGCGCTAACTCATGCAAGCAATCACACATCTGCAGGAGCAGACTTATTTTTCCCCCACTTTCTGCTCCATCCCCTTCCCTTTGGAAACAAGTGCTATTCAAGGTTACTTCTATGCTTTTGTGATCCCGTTTCATCAGATACCTGGTTTCGATACAGAATAATGCAAATCGCATTGCAAACAGCAGCCGTATTTCGTTTGGCGAAATCCAAAATGTTGCCTGTCCTATGCTACTCTCATTATACGGTTCTTCTCCTAGCCAATATCACGGATCAGTAGGTCGTGATGGGCAAGATACTAAACGCATTGTTTATGGTCAGGATGTATTAGAAAGCACGTTAGTTCATTTCAGTTCACATGCAGAAGTGATGTGTTTGATCGATCCCTTCAATTTCTATAACGAAAAAAAAATATTGACAGAAATCTACTGCTTTTATACACCAAATGGGACGCTCAGCGTATCACTCTAGTCTGCAAAGCATCGGAAACAGTGACTGGTTGTTTCATTCATGTTGTTAATGGTCTTCAGTGTGAATCCACCGTGCAGGTGCTATAATTCCAAGAGGCGGTGTTCGGTCGAAGGTAATCGTTTATTGAGGATCACAGATGGGACATCAGTAATTTGGGGTACATAACACAGAAAATCTCATCAGAAACGTACCATCGCAGTTCCTGGCAACACAACAGGTAATGAATGCAGCCATCGATAGTTATTCTGTGAGACCTAGCAAATTGCCCTCGGTGATTTTGTTGATTTTTGATCGTTGAAATAAATCACCAACTATGTTATCTACTACTCACAAGTGAGTAGTAGCGCACAACACTGGTATTCAGTCTGCTAATTTCCACGATGATGACGAATGTTCATTCTGGAATGTGGGAATCTACTGAGTAAGCTCCCCACTAAACTATGTCGTCACCATGTCTGGTTCGTTGCCCGATTTTTGGAATCTCACAGGACCCAGTGGATGTGAACGGCTATTGCATCCTAATTGGAAAAATATGTAATCGATAATTTGAAAGCTTTTAACAAATACACTTTATGACCCGAAAACAATTCCGACAGAACTTGTTTGATTTGTCGGCCTTGGAAATGTGATACTTGTAGAATATAGGAGAAAAGGTTTTATTGTGGTTGAAAAAACAGGATTACATTTATATAATGAACAAATTGGTAACGATATATATCAGAACGAATAATATATTGAATAATACGGACTCAGAGCTATTAGGTACCATGTTTCAAAAAACATATTTTTTATCCCAGTTATTATTGCACCTCAGATTTGCAACCGGCTCACTGAGAGACGTTAGTGAATAGCTCACAAAATATGCCAATTACCTTACGGAGTTATCGACACCATTAAACAGAATGGAACAAATTACCGGTAGAAAAGAGCTGAGTAAAGTAAATTGGTAAATAATTGTCAGTCTTAAAGAACAAGGAGCAGAACATATCTGGATTGAAAGCTTAATTTCTAAGCCAGCACCCTGACCTGCTTCCTCTCTGGTGCATATGATAGAAATAGAAGCAAACATTTAGCAACGGGATTACCAATCAAGAATGGATGCACTAACCGCGTATACATGCCAAAAATACCTGAATGAAGCATATATCATTGGCGATGACGCTGGGATATGGACGCACTTGCCACAGCCGAAATAACGAATGCCGGAGTTGACTACTGTGATAATATTTTTGACCATAAGAAATGAATATAATTCTCTTCGTCCTACTCATGTGTGCTGCAGCGCATGCCTGGTCGCAGGCAAAATAAGGATCTAAGTCCTAAGCTAAAATTTGCTGCACCAAACGAAACCATGGGTAACGTAAGGGTTGTTCCAACTGAAGAAGTGTAAAAATTCACCAGGAAACATTCCTACAACACAACCAATGGGAAACAAAAAACCGCTGAGGTGAAAGGAACCAACGCTAGCAGCAATCGAAAATTATCGCCGGGCTACGTCTCCCGAGAACTTCATACACCTCGAATTTGAGCAGCTCCTAAGTCATTTCAAAGCTTCCAACGGATAGTTGAAACGCTTCAAACTGTCGCAACCCTCGCTTCTAGGATGTGTAGAAAGGTAGTGAATGACAAGAGTGAAAAAAGTCATATTCAACGCACTAATGAAATGATACTTGTTATTTAGGAACATTAGTGAGTATAAACGCAACCCGGCAAATTTTGAATCAAATCAATAAATTTCAAAGCACAACTCAACAAAAGTTCTACTCAACTTAATATTGCCGTTCAGTTAAACCAGGCGGTCGGATACAATAATGAGGGTTCACTGAATTTATTTTTAGACAAAAAAGAAAAAGGTAATCAAGCTACCTTCCACTACGTGCATTCCTTCAGAAGCAATATGAGAAGCAGGTAGATGATCACCAATTGGTGTGTAAAATGAAGCCATTCAAAGAAAGTTGACCGAAGCAGGCGTAAACTGAAAATACTAATCAAAGTAATGCTATTTCTAAATGGGTTCTAGCTTGATATGTAATTGTAACAACTTCAGCAACCTGACAATAATCCGTGCAAATGCTCCGGTGGATCATTATATTTCTGTTTTGACTTCCCTTTTAATCATTGAATACACAAGTTCAGGAAAAGAGCCGCCGCCTAACAAAGGCTGCCTGGGAAAATACAGAAATGGTAAATGGTGTGAAACCAGCTAACAGTACATTCATATGTGACAAGCCCGAATGTATTTTTTCCATGAAATGTATAAATTCTGGTTTGTTGTAGCACACTTCTCAAAATCGTAAATTTGTGAAAGACTGAGTCATCCGAACTGCGACGATTATTGGTTTTTACACTTCTGTTGAAATAACCATTCAATTACATAAAATGTAACCGGTTTGTAGTGAGTAAATTCTCCTTCATCCAGTCGGGTTCTAAAATAACCTCGTTGACTATGGTAAAGACAAAACTTTAAAGTGTCGTTTTCCCTTCCCGAATTTCATTCTATCCTCATCTTGTGGCCAGATAAGAAATATCGAGGTAAATAAATGATTACCCGTTTAGATCCTACCTGAAATTTCCCGTATTGTGCTGTGATTTTACTGGTTTTGTGTAACATTTATCAGTGTCGCTTGAGCGCATGACCTCAGAATCTGGTCCGGTTACATTAGACACAATAGTCGTGATGAACTTTCCTCTGCAATCTCTGTTAAGTTTCGGAGAAAATATGGCACCGCTTATTTCAAGAAACTTTGCAATTTTCGGTATACCGCATATTTGAACACATTTCGCTTTTTGTCGAATCGGTGCATTCTTTAAGGTTAAAGGAATACATAAATGATACGAAATTATCATCGTTCAGTTGAGCTTAATCCTGGCGTACCTATAACATGTACAAACCATAGATAGTACTATTCGTAAAGTACACCTTCCATTTAAAATGATATAATTGTCATTGGGACAAAATTAGTTCTACAATTTATTGGAACTAATGGAGGTCTTGATAACCACTGGCGTCCAGAAGGATCAAAAACGTGCTTGTAAAAATCCGAAAACGAGCTTCTCATCAATCGATATTTTGCGCAATCCCTACGCAATCCGTACATTTTCAGTTTCTTCAAATATTTATGAAGTTATCCTTTCAAATTCCAATAAGAGTTGACAGGAAAAACAAACTCTTGTTTCAGGTTAGATTTCAGTATTTTCTGGATGAAAGATTAAACTTATGTTTTTAATATCCAGGGTATTAATCGTTAAAAGCGGTTATAGCTTACTCCGGTTTTACCCGGGGTTATTTCAAGTCAAGTCAAGTAAAGCTTTATGCACCCGGTAGGATGAATTTTCAGCAAAATAACACGTCTGGGCTTGTATACAAAATGTATTATTTCGTTGCCTTGGTTCCTTTTCTGGGGCTGGAGTCAACTAATGATGTGTTTCACTACTTAAATGTTCAAATAATCCAGTACCTCGTTCTAATTGTAAAATTATCGATTACTTTTGCACTTTAATCCGACTGAATCGTTGATTTGTCGATCAATCGAAGACTACTAAAATATACAAAGCAGAGAGATGCAAAGGAAGTCTTAGTCGGTAGTTTTAGCGTGATGCAGCGGTTCTCAGTGCACTTCATAACCACCGAGAGAGTGATACAGATAGCAAAATCGATCACTTAAATCAGGAAGTCATTAATGATCTGGTATATTTACTGTTTGTGACGAAACGGCTTATTGTGATTGGAGGTACCACTTGTTTGGACATGACCAGTTATTATGTAAAGCTGAATAAATCAAGCGCGTTAGAAATGCAAGTTCCTCAGATTGACATATTACTGACCCAGTCCATCCAAGAAGCCATTCCACAACATATTCCGACGGCTGACACTGAAAATATACGGTATAAACAGCAATCCGGTTAAATAAATTTGATCAACAATCAGCTAAAGTCAATTTAATCTTTGTGGGCTCAAACAGTAGAGTTTCAGAACTGCACTTCACATATGTCAGTCAAAGATATGCTTACTTTCATCCCATCCAAATAAATTTAACAAAGATCGAGATATCAAAGTATAATAAAGGAATTTGCGATATGGCCTTTGCTCAAGGTTAATGAAAGTAAAACAGATAGGAATACAAACCAGCTAATAATGGCTTTATTCTGGCATTTAAAAACAAATTATGTTGGGTCTATGCGTCTTCCTTCCGTGTTTATCAATGGCGGATAGAGTTCTAAATGGTTCACCCATCGATATCCGCTTAATTAAAACTGAGAAAAGACCCTATTTGGCGAAGAATATAATTTTTTCAACACCTGCAGGGAGATATCGAAGAGCGGCTATCACTGGAGAACATTCGTCAGGTCAACAAACATTCCACTACTTTGTTTGCCATCCACGTTACAACATCAGTGTTTCCACCAAGGAAACGTAATTTAGTTCAATATTTGGATGTCACAAGTTGTATTTAAGCACGACTGCGCA